GCCAGGCTCATTTGCAAATTTCACTTATTGTAATGGTATTGTAATTTTAGACAGGTTTATGTCAGGGAATCAATAGCAGAAATATTGTAGGGACAATGTAAATGATTATTACAGATGCTGCAGAATCCAGTCATTTGTTTCTCTTGATGTTTCTAACCTTAAGCAAAGAACAAATGTATCCTTTGTGCCAAACTGAAGTCTTAATAAAAGAATTTATGCTTGGTAAACATGGCAGAATTAGGGCTATATTGAAATTGGAATCAGGATTAGTATTACTGAAATATGAAGAATTCAGTTCTTTTCCAATCTCCCTGAAGAACATGCTCTCAAATAGTAGAAACAGCATTAAGAGACTAAGGAAGGACTAATTTGCTGCACGTTTGCATTAAAATTAGTGTTGTTCTCTCTCCAGTGGGACTACTAAACCAAAAAGGATTTTTAGTTTTTGAGTAATCTACCTCAAAAGATTGCTGACAAGCAATTCACATGGTAATACTGTCAAAAAATTTAATTTACTTTCATTTAATGATTCCTATATGTCAACTTTATTGCTTGCTCTATTATGCTGAAAGGCTTCAGGTAGAGATGTGAATCAGCTCCACACATCCATTTAACTAGGTGTAATTAGTGGAATTACCCTAACAGTGGAGGCATTTTTTCATTATTCTCAAAATCATCTGCAGTAATAGAGCTTGTTTCACTGAGAGGAAATATCCGCCGAGACTTGGAGGCATTTGCTTTCATATGTGTACATCTGTACATGCACCACTGCTTTAGTTTCTGCTTTGTCTTTGTCCCTCTTGCACTGCTTTCCTTCAAACTGCAATAAAGTCTTCACTTTCTCCTTGGTGAGCCACCAGGCATGAACAGCACTTCTCAGCTTTTCTTGTCTGACATTCCTGTTTGCCCCATGTTGGGCTAACTTATTACAGTAGAAGGCATCATCAAAATGCAGCCTGTCTTCTTTCCAGTGTCAGCAATTCGTGTCTGGGAGCACTCTAGAAACTCCTATAAGTACCATGGGAAACTGTGTGGAAGGCCAGATTCTTGTATATGCTTAATGCATCATGTGTGGGACCTAAAATGATGGTTCTTGTGGGCTGTGAATCTAATCCATGGGTGCTTCAGCTATGACTTAAAATAACCGTTTGTCCAGACTACTTCCTGCTGTGTAGTTCTCTTCCTTTCTGTGGCCCACATTTTTATTTGCCTCTATAGCACTTCAGTAAAGTTTCAAACAAACTTCATTGTATTTCTGGATTGTGCTTTCACAGGAAATTCAGTGGTTGTTTTGAAAAAGCATAGTTTTCAGTTTGTGTCAGTGCTCATCTTGATGAGACTTTTGGATCTGTATTTCATCACTAGAGTGATCCATACAATGAAGGAAGGTAAATGATAATACTCTAAGTACTCAAGTATTTCCCCAAATACTGTTTTGTTTTGTGGTTTTTCTTCCTCCATTACAGGTAGGCAGTTTATGCATTACATCTTAAGTCATTGACACAGTTGCAGAACAGAAAACTAATTATAGTTAAGAATTACTTTGTTCAACTTCTTGTCCTTTTTGCATTGTTTCTAACGAGTTATGTACAAAACTGTAGTGAAATATTGGTGAGTCTTAACCAAAAGCCACATACTTTTCCATGAGCTGCATATACTTGGAGCACCATCTTCTCTCTGTCTCATCTGTCAACACAGCGTTCGTGCCAAAAAAAAAAAAAAAAAACCAAGGTGATGTTTCTAGCAAGCCAGAAACCCTAGTAACCAGAGTCTCCTGTCTCATTGTGCCTTTCTGACCACAAAGTGTGACTTTCTTGGATAACACAACCTCTGACACAGTGAGCAGAAATGCTTTGCTGGTGAGCAAATGTCTCTACTGAAATACCACTCCACAGCTTTTCATTGTGGACAAGATGGAAGTACTTTGGAAGTTCTTGAGGAGATTTTGTGCCCAGAAAGAACAGCCTCAGCCCTGGCTTTGTGGTGGTGGAGGAGGGAGATTTTAAGGCTGGGGAAGGTGTCCTGGCTGTCATTTCCAGCTGTTCTCTTCACCAGTGGAAAGGCCAAGGAAGCCAAGGCTTGCTCTGTGTGTGTGTGGACATGCATGTGTGATGCTGACTTCTGGTTTGCAACACGCTAAAAATATTTTCCTCCCCTTCCCTTTGACTGCAGTGGCTCCTGGCAATCCCCTCTTCTGTCTTCTCACCATTATCAGTGCTGGTACATGTTACTTTTATTCTTTGGTTGGTTCAGATACAGCTCTACTCCTTTAGCTTTTCTCTTCCTCCTCTTCCTTCCTGGATGCAAACTACTGAGGCTATAAAAATCTCCTCTCTGCGAGCAGAAAAATGTATTAAAGAGCTTGTGATCAGACTCACTTATCCATTATGCCAGAGTTAACTTTAAAGATCCTTGTGTCATATGCATGTGACAATAGTCTTGTAGTGAGCTAATGAAAACAATGGAGAGGAAGTATTATTTTATAGCTACTAAGTCAGCCAAAGTGTTTGGTAATACTGAGGCAGTAGTGATGTGAGTTTATAGTGATTAAGATGACCTGAGTGGCTGTCACTCACTTAGCTGAAAGGTCTGAAGTGAAACATTTCACTGACACTTCCCCACTCCCCACGAAGGTATTAATGATTACTTTGAGAGAGGAGAAAAGTACCTGGCTTTTCTATAATTAAAAATGTTAGTTAGGTATGGAAGTTGGGTCAAGTGTTTATCCTTCATTTTGATTATCTTTTTCAATGGATCTTGAATCCTGGGATGCCTGGATATGTAGCTGTTTAAGCCACATTGCAGCATCTTGCACTGTGCTGTTGCTATCTTTAGTACCCCTGTGTTGCCTTCCCCTTGTAATATCGTTCATGTGTAAAGCTTCAGGCCAGACATACATGAGCATTTCTGCATGGCAGAAATTTCGTCTTCCTCTAGGGACTTCTGGATCTATTGGCCTGTTTTGAACTGACCCCAAAACCTCTATGGAGCTCTGCATTCCCAAAGCCAGGGCTCAGCCCTCCTTGCACCTGCACGGGGTAGCGAAGGTGGCCAGGCTTCCTCCTGCTGGCATGCACTCGTTGGAGGGGTTTGCTCATTAATCATTGAGGACTTGAACCTGGAAAGGTGCTGGATGTCCCGAACAACTCCTGAGTCAATGGGAGTTCATGGCACTCAGTTTCTTGAAATATTTCACATTCTGGAAGTTGGGGCATATAAAATGTTTGTGCTTTTACCTCACAAAGCCACAAAGCTCTTCAGAAAAGGGCATGGAGCATACTATAAATGAAGTATTCAGAGGGGAAAACAAAAATTTCCTGACTTATTCTTGGCAGCAAATACTTGATCATGACATCTGGTCTAAGAAAATGTACAGACTCTCAACACTGCCAGTTTATTTCACCAACAAACCAACATACAGGTTATTGATTGTGAATGTAGCCAGGGAATGTGAGGATTCCACATGCCTCCTTATGTCTCCCCATGGGATCTTTTTTAATAAGTTGCATAATACTTTTCTATATTAGAGGATTGTAAGATAGACATGGTGGATCTCTTCTTTACTTAAATAGACTGGTTATGTTTTCTCTTTGAAGGAAATGCAAGCAAAGAATGAATAGTTTGTGAACAGTGTTAAATTAAAAAGCATGACTTCAAAGGCCTTTTAAACAATTTATTCTAAAACTCAGCCCACTGATGGTGTTACAAGTGAAATAACTAATTATGTGGGAGGCTAGTCAAGCACTGATTTAGGATTTGGTTTCTTGGTCTGATAGATAATGCTTTAATAGCAAGAAAAATAATGCATGACTTAAATCTTTGGACTTTAGTTCAGGTAGACCCTTTTCTGAGAACAAGTTTGCATATAACCTGTAACAATTTTCTTGGAAAATGTGAAAGCCACTTGAATATGTTTATGTGGACCTTGGCTGACTCTAGAGATGCTTCCCATTAGAGACTGAGAGCAAGGTTAAAGAAGGATAAGGGAGTGTCGTAATGGAAGTATTTTACTTCTTTCAAACTTAAGTTAATTTAGAATATCATTGCTTTTACAGAATGTAAGGGTATTTATCTGGAATATCAGGCACAGTTTGACAGTGATCATGTTACTTAGAAACACAATGGGGCTTAGTGGGCCCAACATCTTTCCTTTATATCATCAGCACATGACAAAGTAAGACTCCAAACACACAACTTTAGCATTTAACATGTGAAGACATGGAGATAAAATTCCTTTCTATGCACTAGAGCACTGAACCCTTTTTCATTTTGGCAAGAAAGTTAAAAAAAAGGACAGCTCTCTGTAGTTACTTGTTTTCTGTTTCTTCAGTTTTAGTGTAACTTGTGGTAATGTTTCATCTTAGCCTGTTTGGTGCATTTTCATGTGGCAAGTGATTGTGCCAATTCTAAACTGCCCTGGCTAAGCTGCGCTCCTGGCCCTGGCTCGTGCAACGGGGGAAAATTCCCTCAAATAGTGTTGACTTTTGCCTGCAGGTTTCTAACAATTCTTAAGATCAAAACGTTACCAGAGAAGTACTTGCTGTGACAAATTCTGCTTGTGAAAGGCATCTGGACACTTGGGTTTACTTCATCTGTCATCTAGCACTTATCACTGAACAAAAATTAAAGAAATCCTCAGGCTCTCAGTCAAGGTGGTTGTTTTCAAAGCAGTAAGCTTGACTTTGTAGGGTTTTTATAAACTGTCTGCGTGAAGTGCATGTCCTGACACTGCAAGTATGTTATGTTTGTTTGTAAACTTGTTTTGGATGCCAGTACTAACTTTTTGTACCTGGTTGTCCAGTTGCCATATGCTGTGGTTTTATGTTCATATTGGATATGCAGTTTGGGCATTTAATTTCTTTAGGCAGAACCTACTTTAACATGGCCCGTGTTTTGTCTTTTCTAGGAATAACATGCTTGGAAGTACTTGGTAGTGTTGACCACCTGTACCCCAGCACAAAAGCTCCAGCTTAATCCATTTCAAACGCTTCCCTTGGAACATGGGGGAAAATGGTGATGAAAAATACTGTCAGGCTGGCCAGATATTTGAAAACTTTGTACAAGCATCAACATGCAAAGGTACCATTCAGGCCTTTAATATTTTGACTCGCCAACTTGAATTAGATCCTTTGGACAATAGAAACTTTTACACTAAACTGAAGTCAAGAGTGACCACATGGAAGGCCAAAGCTTTGTGGAACAAGCTTGATAAAAGAGCAAGTCACAAAGAATATAAACGTGGAAAATCTTGTATGAACACTAAGGTAAGTGAAGTTCAGTTTTGTATTTCATACCTTAGAATCTTTTAAACTTGTTTTTCTGCAGAAACTATGTTTCTACCATCACATGCAATGTGTCACTTCCTTTAGTATACCTTTTGAACCTATGACTGATACCAACAGATTCTGATAAATTTTTAGGTATTTTTGTTCTGCAAGTTTTGTGAAAACACAGCGTGTAAGAGTGATCCTAAAAGCACCCCGCTTTACAATCTGCCCCAGTTATGGCAGAAAAGTTTTCTTCCCTCTTTAGACATCGGTATCAATCAGGCATAAGATGTAAACCCATGAGGCAGTAGGCTTCATTCTAGGCTCACAAGAACCACTTGCTTTATTAAACAGTGTTTTGCAAGATGCAAATCATAGCATGTTCAGCAGCTCAGTTGCTGCTTTGTGCATGCTGTAAGAGACTGTGCTGGGCAAATGCATTTCAACAGCCGTTCCTAAACTGATAAATGCTAATTTTTTTTTCCTAAGCCAATAAATGGCAAATTTTCTATGGTAAATGCTGCTTGGAGGTCTGGGGATCTGCCTTTGTCACCTAGCATCAGCTTTAGTTGCTAAACAACAGCAAAAGAAAGTCCTGCACTATTTATGCTTTTAAGTACTTGCCTGTAACTGCTTTTTCACAAGCGCAATGTGGATAATTGCTCTGTGCTAGTCACTGAAAGATATGATCTGCTTGGTTATGGGGAGAGCAGGATATGATCTTGTCTTCAGCAGAGCATGCAATTTTGTATTTTAATAGAACCACTGAACATATTTGTAAATCTTGTTGACAGAATTGTGCAAAATACTCCAGTTCATGCTACTTGTTTCATCTAGCTATCACAGTGTATTTTTTTATAGCTTTGTCTCAGAGCAACTCGCTTATTTATTGCGAGTGCCAGCTAAAAGTTGCCCCAAGAAGCATAAGTTTTAGGAAGCTGCTTGACTGTGTAGAGGTAGAACAGAGAGCAAGGACATACTGGAGGGCAGCTAGGCACCAAACTGTGGAGGACTTTTTAACTGAAAAGGTCACTCAAGTTTTATACTATGGACCAGTAGGCAAGCAGTGTTTAAAGTCTCTTTCTTCTTGTTTGCATCATTGCACTGAAACTTCTCAAAAGCAACAGGGAGAAGGACACCTCCAGTATATATAGAGCCCTCTGGTTTTATTTATAAATTTTAAATAAGCTCCCAGAGGTTATTAACTTTTTCTAAGGCATTAAATGTTCTCATTACAGTTTTCTTTGGAAAATGAAGAGAGCCATTACAGCCGTTTTCACTGTTTTCCCAACAGCCTCTGTTTTTCTCCTTTCCTTTTTCCCTTTTTTTCCGTTTTTGACTTGTGCTTCCTTCCTCCCTTTTGTTCTTTTGAGAAGGCCTTGAATATATGTCATAGAGCATCTTTGTGGTGAAAACAGACAGGAAAGGGAAGGGAAGAGAAAATGACTGATGACTAACAAATTACAGGAGATACGCATAGGTGAGACACTTGTGGAGTACAGCCCCAGGTCCAAATTTCCACAGTTTAAGGAATTATTTACAACACAAAGAAGCAGTTTTAAAACCCATGTGAAAAACAAAAAATTAAGTCATTCTCTCATAAGTGTGACATTACAAAGCCAAGGCCTATTTCTGCAAAGTTCTTAAGCAGGGTGATTAATTTTTATATATGGTGAGAAGACTCATGGAAATCGCTTGGTACATAAAATACACCCTGTGCAATGCTTAATAAAGGTGCCAAGCAGGAGGCTAATCAATATCTTTTGCAGTGCCGAAAGTTTGGAATTGCTCCTCTTTGGGAGTAAGGGTTTTGTGGCATGGTGTAAGTATATGCAGAAATTAATGGACGTATCTATGATGCACATACGATCAAATTGCAAATTAATACAGAATGTCTCAATGTGTGTATAGATATTCTGTGAAATACTTGTAGATGTTCATTATAAACCTGGACTGTGGCCAGACCTGCACTTCGCTGTGTTGTCACTGATGTAACAAGAGAAACATGAATCTTCAGACTGCTGTAAATTAAAGCAGTAACCATGGTCTGTGGGCTCTGTGGGGCTATCTACCAAACATTCCTCCCACATGAGTCGGTCTGCTGTGAAAGCCTAGCTGTGCAACATGCATGAGAGGAGATGCATTGTGAGAAGACTGCAGACTCGCTGACCATTTCAGTGGCGTACTTTGACAGCCCCACTTACAGATAAAGGAATTCTCAGAAATGCTGGTGCAGAGAGATTAGGATGTAATATACATACCAGTTTTCCTTTCATGCATCTGGCCATTTTAAGTTTGTCTTTCTTGCATGTTATGCCAGCTACCATTTTTTAGTAGCAGAGCAGGCAAATGGGAGTTAGCAGGCTAAATCCTGACAGTGGTGCCCAGCATGCACCTCTGTGGAATTGCCTGCGAATTGGTTGAAGTAGATCAGCCTGGAGTGAAAATTTAACTTGTTAAAGCAGGATCACAAAATGAGCTAAGTGAATTTTTGCAATTGCAGTTCTGTAAAAAGAGCCAAGGTTGCTAGTAGGCATAATCTTTTTTAAAAAGTGACTTGAAGGCTTTGTAGGAGGTTGTGGCCATGAGCTCTATAGCTGAGTTTGCAGCTCACAGTTCTCAGATATGGCTTTGCAACCTGCCTAGCTTCTTGCAGTCTTCCTAATCTTTGCATGAGATAAAGGAGGTAAAACACAGTCGGGATCTAAAGTACTCATGGTTATCTTTTTTTTTTTTTTTTTTTGTTAACAAACTGAGAGTCTGCTGGCTCACCCTAAAACTGTTCTATTTTTTTTGGTTTTGTTTTTCCACAGAATTTAAGAGCTGAGTGTGTACTTGTTGATTTTTGTGCTTCTAAACTCTTCAGCCTCGCTTAAGTTACACGTTACAATATACACAAGTTTAATACATACAGAACGTTCCACTCCAGCTAAATAACAATAATCCCGTGTCTTAACTGCTCTTGAAGAACATTGCCAAATATGGCTTTCAGAGTTTCTACAATGATATGTTTTTAAGCTGGGTGAATAAAACCAGTTCAGCAATTTTAAAGTTCAAACCCACTGCTATTTTGGAGTTACCTTACTGTGGACATTATTTGCCCTGTAATTCTTTATAAAAGAAAAAAAAAAACCACACCCCAAAATAAAAACAAAGTTCTGTAGAAAGACATGCCCAAAACTGAGGCAAAAGCAAACTTTTTTTTGAAACTGTAGGAGTCTACATGTACATATGTTAAATCTTTATGAACCATACTGGCTTCCATCGCAAACTTGTAAAATGGGAATGAGCACTATTCAGTTCTGCTTTTTGTGGAGCTGGCATTTGCACAGTTCGCCAGTATTAGTGAGGAACAGAAGCCTGTCTAAGTAGGCAAAACTCTAGAGATCATACTATGGTTTTTGCAAGCATGTCTAGAAAAAGAGCAGGAATTTATTATCCTGGCAAAGTCTCTCTCTCCTTTTCATGTTTTACTAATCAATACTAAGTAGTGTACTTGGAATCTGTGATGATTATTTGTTTCTTCATGGAATTAAGCTAGCTAAGAAATGCAATCTAAAGTTGAGTGAAGCTAGGTAGAAATTTGCTAGCTAGACAATTGAAGAGTACTAAAGGTTTAGCATATGTTCTTCAGCATGCTAACAGTCTGAATGACTCTTTGAATTTTTGAAGATGCAAAACAATACAATGATGAACAAGAATTCATCCAACTAGTTGCAGAGTGTATTCAATAGCCTTTTAAAGACGTGTTCTATGAAGATTTATTTGAACCTCTCTGTATGGAGTAGATTCTTTATTTGTACTTGATTTACTGGCAGTTTACCTATGTAAATGATACCAATATATGCATGCACATATAAATGAGGCTCCCACGGATGCTGGAGATAGATATGTATATGGATCAGAGGGCAGAATCTAGCTCATGCTGCGCACCTGAAATTCTGGCTCTCCCGTGACTGTAGATTCATGCTTGAGGATGACAGAGGTGGTTGCACATGAAAACATCCTAGACTTAGTGTGAAGGGAGGTGTTGATTCTCTAAAGCATGCAAATGTAGTGTTGTCTTCCTCCTCAGGTGTGTAGGCTGTTTTTTCAAAGCACTTGCTTACACTTGAGAAATAAGAAATCTTTCTTTAAAGTGCTAATGTGTAATTACCAGCTGCCTTGGTCGACTGTAGGATTTCTCTCCTGATGTACTGAGATTCAGTGATCATGTCGGGCACTGGAGGGAGGACAGTGGCAAATTCCTGTCTGCAGCTTTTGTCTCCTGAGCATTGTCTCTATTGTAGACCCTACCTTGGGCATGATTCCTGGGCAGAGGGCTTATACAGTCTGAGCTGTGGTTTCAAGGCCTAACTGGATGACATTAGCATAAAGGAAGTAAATAAAATAGAGCTAAGAAGTTTGGAGTACAGTGTTTATAAATACATGTGTGCATTTGTAGGTACATCTTTATATAGAATCACCTAAGTTCCTGAAAAACAAATTATCTTGAACTAGGTCTCTGTTGGCTTCTAGTTTTCCATGTTCCTGGACTTGGCCTTTCAAAGCTTGTTCTACGACAGATTAGGTTCCCTTCCAAAAACTCCTGTTGGGAAACTTACTGCAAGAGAATGACTCTAAAATTATTTATGATCCTCTTTCCAGTGCTTATGTAAAAACCATAGTGGCTCTTTTCAGTAGTGTCATGTGCTGCCAGTGTTACCTAGATTGGTGGCCTTGGTGTCTGTGCTGTAGGGGTGGCTCCAGGGGCTCCTGTGCTGGGGTGGTGCGTGTGGTGTGAGTCGGGGTGCAGATGGGGGGAAGCTGGGGGCCAGGGTGTGAGTCAGCTGAAGAGCAGCCCTGGGTCAGAAATGGTGATGGAGGCTGGAGGTTTTGTGACTGACTCAGCGCTGGCTCCAAGCCTTGTCTCCCTGTACTAACCACACTGGTGTACCCATGAATGATACAACGGGGACCATCTTTTTGTCTGCCAAACTTCTGCTCTTTTTCATATT